TATTTCCCTTTTTGTGTGCTTGTCCTGCTCCACAGTCCTACCATTCAGGCCTTTTTACTAGTTGTAAACAGTTCAGGGCTGGCTGTGGCTGTTTGGTTTTAATTGGAAACTGCCTCTTTAAATTTCAAGGAGATCTGTGCGCATGTGTGGTAGAACCTTCTGAGGGTGGGGCTGGGTGCCCACTAGTTCAAACACCCCTATAGTCACCAGAATGGAGGTGCGCAGACAGCAAGGGACCAATAACAGCTACCAAAAGAAAAGAATGTTCACACCTTTATCTCTGTGGTTCTGCCAGGCATCTGTGGCCGCTCCGATCCTTCCTCCGCTTGGTCTCACCCAAGATGGTGGCTCCTGGAGCAGCTGAGCATTCTGGACTAGAAAGCAGTGGATTTCTTGTTTCTGCCACAAATTCCCCCAGCTGTAAGTCTTCCAACCTTATAAATATTCCTTTATATGTGGTTCAGAGTTCTGGGACTATCTCCTGAGCCTGCTTGGTCTGGTATTCTGTGTTGTTGCTGGCAGAGCTCCTTTACTGCACTTCTACCCGATCTGCCATCTTGTTTGTTCTTTTACTATTTTTTGTTGAGCTTGGGTTATTTTGTTCTCTTTTCTTTTACTTTAAATTTTGAATTCTGGTTCTTGTGAAAATTTTTGCTGATTAGATGCCCTAATGGTTGGCCTACCTGCCAACCATAAGGCTGGGGCCCTCATCAACCAGCTGGTCCACAAAAGAAAGATGCAATAGCCTGCCTACACAAAGACTCACAGTCCTGGAATCCTACAGAGCAGCATTACTCTGCCCTGCAGCACTGCTATAAGAGAAAGGCAATTCTAAACATATATGAGGGTAAGTGAAAAAAGTATTGCTACTAGGGTTTCAGTTCATACACACAGGTGTTCATTGCAAACAAAACGTGCTTTATCATGTCTGCAGTCAGAGAGTGGCTACAGGTAAGTCCTCTCAGTAGTATACTTGTCTTAGTCTTATGAGGTGCCTTAAGAAATGTTCAATCAAAACAGTGGCTTCAGAGGAGATCTATTGGATCAGTTAAATTCAAGGTGGAGAGATCAGCCCAGAAAGTTATGATGACTATTTTAGGAGAACCCCACAGGGGTAATCTTGATAGATTTTCTCAAATGATCCAGGATGATCATGGGGGCTTATTAAGGAGAAGTTTTAAGAAAATTGAAAACTGCATTGGTGAGGAGAGTTGTGATGAATACTTTTCTCCTCCATGACAATGTACCTGCTTGTTCTTCGAGGGTTGCAAGTGCTGTCTGAGAATTGCACTGGGAAACCTTACTCCACCAACCCTCTAACCTTGATCTTCTTTTTGTTCCCAAACCTCAAAGAACATAATTTGAGTCCCTTTAAGATGTCAAATATACTGCTTTGACATGGTGTAAATTGAAGAGTACAGAAATCTTCTGGGAAAGGTTAGAGAGACAGAAACACTACTATCAGAAGATAGTATGTAGAGCTCAGGAAGGAGACTAGAACCAGAGATCAGACAGCACTAATAAGGTTTACCAAAGTCACACAGATAAAGAAATTATAAAGTTGGGCTTTGAATTCAGTTTCTGATTCTCTGTTTTCAATATTATTTCCTATTCTACTAAAGTATTTTTCACATTGTAGCAGGTGTATTTTAAAAAGACAAAGGCAAAGGGAAAGTACAGAAAGGAACTCTCAAAGCTGTTCTGTTTCTTTAAGCTCTTTTGTTTTGATTAGCTTCTTGGTTAATCAATGGGATTATCTTAAGCAGACCCTCAGATTTCCCTTTTGACAATAAATAACTACCATTTGGTGACACCTTCTATGTATCAGAATCTTCACATACATACACTTCTCCTGAGTCTACTGATTTTATTAACTTCATTATATAAATAAAAGTGAAGTAAACTGTTTAAAGTTGCCCAGTACCAAATCAAGTCAAAGTATGAAGAGACTTCAAAAAGTTCATGAAAATATTCCATTATTTTTTAATCCCATTTTTCTTCAAGTTTTTTGAAACCTCCGTGTAATAACTTGGTCCTTTCTAGTGACAGGATAAACATGCATGTTTAGAGTCAGGCTACTATTTCAAGAAATAAAATTTCAGGCCTTCAAAATAAAAAAAAAGTGTATAGACTAGATTGTTGTTGTTGTTGTTAAGTGCCGTCGAGTCGGTTCCGACCCATAGCGACCCTGTACAGGGTTTCCGAGGGTGTAAATCCTTACGGGAGTAGAAAGCCTCATCTTTCTCCCGCGGAGCAGCTGGTAGTTTCAAACCGCTGACCTTAAGGTTCGCAGCCCGATTCGTAACCACTACGCTACCAGAGACTAGATAGAGGATATATATTATATGTCAAGATATAGTAGCTTCATGTCTTGCTATGTTGTTTAATAACGGTTTCTATAATTTTGTAGTACTTTTTTAAATGTATGTGTCACACTAACTTTGGTTGAGTACAGTGTCTGACACACAGTAGAAATTCAGTGAATATTTGTAAATGGGTAGATAAATGGATGGATGAATGGATGCCATTGAAGAGATAATTATAAGATCAATGGGATTATATGGTGTAGAAATGCACTATTGTGCTTTGGGGGGTGGTGTAGTGGGGTGAGGTATGTTAGGAGCTCGTTTGAACTTTATGGAATTTAGGGAATTTTCATATTACCCAGAATCGCCAACTGATGTTCATTATGGGGGATGAGTGTGTATGTGTGGAGGGGGTGGATTCCATTTGCCCAGTTTACTGTCCAGAGATCTCTCTGTTAAAATAAACATCACCCTGGTCCCAAACAATGTCTGCTCCTTAGTCACAGCCTGGTACTCTCTCACTCCTATTAACAGGCCTTCCCTACCACACTCTCATTCTATATACAAGGATTTAGCATTTTCTCCAGACCCCTCTAAGCTGACATGGGGCTGAGATAAAGTTTGTTCCTTTCTTTGAGATCCTTGACTTTAGATGATCTTGTGGAAGAAATTTGACTAGCCCCCCTAGTCAGGAGAGTTAGAGAAAAAACCCATTTCTTTCAACCTCCCAGTCTACACAGTGTGGACTTCTGGTTCTGCTGCTAATGTCAGTGTCCCGAGGTTAGCCAGGAGAGAAAGAGTTAAGTAAAGCCCACTTTCAGGTCTGGGTCCCAACCAGCATTCCTCTGTCCCAGCAGTCTGCCAGCCTCTGGGGCCAGAGGCTAAATTTAGAGTGTGGGGCTAAGGTTTCCTGAGAACAACTGTCCTGGCCCTTGGAGGAGAAGCTCTGAAGAGAGAGTAAAGAGCTTGGTCCTTCTCAGTCCCTCTCTCTGGTGGGAGCCTCTGGTCATTTCATCTGGGTTCCCCAGCCCTTGAGTGACTACCCTTGGTGTGGAGATACAGGAAGACCAGTGGTGAGTGTGTTTTTCTTCTCATTTTCTCCTGGGGATCCCAGGACTTACAAGCAAAAGCTCTACCCTTCCTGTCAGAGCCCAGCCTGATGACTGGAGCCAGCTGCTCGGGGATTTCATGTCCCTTAATAAGCTGCGGGGATGTGCTTGAGCCAAAGGTCCCAACTCCATGGCCCTGTCCGTACTCACTGAGTCATGAAGAGGCCCAGCTGCACCTCCCCCAGTAGACAAAGGGGTGTTCATATGTGTCAGTATGGGTGTGTGAGTGTGTATGCGCACAAGAGAGTCTGAGTGTAAGTGTGTGTGTGAGTGTTAACACAGTGTTAACACAACTGGGGTGTGCTACATGGTGTCCTGGTGAAAGAAGCTGGGCCGGATCTGACTGGGTTTTCCCTGCTGGTCCTTTAGCCACCAAGGCTAAGTCCCTTCTGCTTTCCCACACTTTCATTTGGCAGATGGAGACAATGATACCTGCCCTGTGTACCTCACAGATTGCCTTGTATTGTGAACTTACTTTGGCATTGGCATGTGGCCACTTTCCTGTTCCTAGCCCAGCTGAAACACCATGCACTCTCGCTAAAACTTCTAGAACCTGAACCCTTACTGCCCCCTCCCTCACTGCTTCAACCTTACAGAGGCTGTCATGGCGACCAGTGGAGACCCAGAGGAAGAGCAGGTAGTCCCAAGTGAAGCTGATGAAGCTGATGTGAGGGCAGTGCAGGCCCGCTACCTCCGGAGCCCCTCCCCCAGCCAGTAAGTGGATGTTCACTGAGCTTTCATAGCCATGGTGGGGAGGGACTAGAGAAGATGATGTGATGTGAGTGCTAGGGTGTCCATAGCCACCACCTTTTCACTAATTCAACAAAAGCTATTGAGCATCGTTATGTGCCATCCTTTCTGGAGGAAGTAAACATGCAAGCAATATGACACAGAAAGTGCTAAATATTAGTATGTCTAGGGCCCAGGTGGGGCAACACAGAATAAACCCACCAGCCTCTCCTTGGAAACCTTGTACAGGGTCACTATGAAGAAGAAGCGATTCAAAGTTACTTAACAATAATCAACAAGCGTCCGGGGAAATGGAACAACTTGATTTGGAAAGAAGGCTTCTTGGAAGAGATGATGTTAGCTCTGAGGCTGGAAGAATGAAGAGGAGTTTAATAGATCTACCCAGAAAGCGTGGGGGTGAGGATGGGGGTGGGGGTGGCAGGGATGGGGACCAGGAAAAGGAGAAGCCAGTGGTGGAGGCTAGTGGCAGTTTAGTGGTAGAATTCTCACCTTCCATGAAGGAGCTCTGGTAGTGTAGTGGTTACAAGTCCATCTGCTAATCTCAAGGCCAGCAGTTCGAGACTACCAACAGTTTCAAGGGAGAAAAATGAGGCTTTCTGCTCCGGATTCCCTGACCATTTGTCAGTGAAGGTTTTCATGATGTTGAACATGTTTCAGAGTAGCTTCTAGACTAGACTAAAAAGAAAGACTTGGAGATTTACTTCCAAAAAT